GTTACTGACCAGCAAGCATTGATGGTGAGGGCGATAACTTCAATCCAACCGTGTTTGTGGGGACAGAACATTTTTTATGTATCAGGCTCCTCATGATTGAGAATAAGTCAATCAATCTGTGATATAGATTGTCTTCTTACGCTCACCACTCAAACTCATGTTTCCAATATTATGCTGGATTAGCTATTCTACTACGACAACTCATAACATGCTAACTCGGATTTTTACACTAGGATTGTGTGGCTGGCATCGGAAAAACAAAAAAGAAAAAAAGTTAGACAATAAAAGATGTAGTCATTAGTATTCTTAACACTTCACCCTCTATATACACACCCTTCTTATAAACCGCTTTCCTAGTAACAGCCTTGACTTCCTTTCCTTCATGTGAGCTTACTTCAACTTGTTAAACATCACAACTCATTGTTCTTTATTAGTACATTCTATAATATGGAGCCTCTGACTTCATTTCACTAACAAGACATAATATGAATTTATTCTAATTTATTATACCACTGACCGTTCTACTACACAATGTTAAGCAACGTTTGGCGTTCATATCCAAGTGCCTTGCTACTCTTCTGTTTCTCTTATTTTCTTCTTCAGAATCTTGCTCTGAGAGCACAGCTATAAAACTTCTGACGTTTGGAACAAACTTGACGTACGCTTCTTCTCAAGGTCATAGCAAGGTTATAGCAAGCGCTCTACGATTTCACTTTATAACAACAATAAACTCAATAAGTTGGGAAACATTTTGTGAACCAACAAATGTTGTAATTTATAGATCATGCCTGTAAAAACGGTGTGTACCTGCACATGCAAAAACATATTATTATTCTTTCATACATTGTCCACACTTATTTTCTTTAACCTATTAGAATGCTCTTGTTTAGTAAATACTCTAATAAAAGAAAATTAGACTGAGTAGCCATACCTTAAATTTTCTTTCATAAACATTGGCTGCTCTGCCTCTCGCCCTTTCTTTTACTTGCTCTCTTTTTCAGCACCCTTAGAATATGGAATAGGTGACTTCATCCTGCACCTTCCTTAAAGCCTCAGATATTCCAAGGCAACATAAAGTTGCAATTTCTAGAAGCTCCCATCTTCAATGGATATATCCTTTACCACCAGTTGCAAGTCACAACGCCATTTTCGTGAAGCGCGCCAACTGTGACACTGACAAAACCATCTACATTCATATCTTAAAAATTATCAACCCAGCTCAGTAAGTTACTACGGTGGATATTGTATAATTTGGAACAATTTGATCCTGCTTGTAGACTGACATGCCTCATGTAACAAACTGTTACTTGCGAATAAATTATAATTACGTTGACAATCTTCCCAGGTACTCCATGGTGTCGAAGAGGTGTCCATTTCTTCACTTGAAGTAGACAGGTAACTCAATGGACCTATCATTACTGTTAAGATACACTCGGTCGATAAGGGACACTCACTACCACCCTAAAACGTCAAGAGGACCGCACAATCGGCTGCCTACTACCAGTGGTCTTGCATCTATGGAGCCTGTTACCAATCAACTGGTTAGGACAACAGAAAATAACATCAGTACCAAGTTACTGTGAGTTCCTTCCTGTTTATACTTTATTAACTTTTTACTCTTCTGTACACTATGTTGACTAGCAATTAATATTATTTCTCCACTCGTTCCCTTATCCACAACTCATATACTTCTATACTTTTTCCGCCTGCTTAAATAAACAACTATCCTACAATATACCCTTCTTAACGCTTATACTCTGATTGGCAAACTATACTTTATACTATAATCAACAGAGGCACTGCATCGATGCTTTACCCACATTCCATAGCTTGTAACTGCCTGATAGGCTTGTAAAATGGTACTTATAGAAAATG